CTCCCTCTTCCCCCTCTTCCCGCGCAAAAGATGATGACCTACTTCTCAACCTCAAATGCAACGAACGACTCCGACCTAGTTGGCAATATGTAGCTCGCAAAATGCAGCAACCTTTGTCCCAGATTCAAGCCCGCTGGACTGACCTTCTCGATCTTCAACGTGTTGCTACATCCTGATCACCAACTTTGAACACGTCTTCGACTTTTGAACCGGCTTGACTTCAGATCTTGAATTCCCCGGACAAAATATTGCTCTACTTCTCCTTTCGTCTTTTTGCGCATTTCAATTCATTTCACTTCACATTGTCCACATCTCCTTCCCCTTTCTCGTATTGGCTTCACAGTCGTTTGGCTCAAACACACGTCTCACTTGTCCTGAACTCCCACCTTCCTTTCATTAGATGACGACAACGCGACCAAGCACCATTACCAGCAAACCTCGTCCTTCGATTGCCTCACACCTTCGAGATTCAGAGGAACCTGTTATTGCCTCCACCAATTTCCCGAAGAAAGCTCGTCCCACAGAACCTCCTCCCTCATTGCGGACGGTGACGACTACTTCCCAGGTCGCGGCTCTACCTTCCTCAGGACCTCCTTCAAGCTCCACTTTGTCTACATCGAGGTCTACTACCCCGCCCACGTCCTCGACTCTTTTTTGATTCATACTGAAACCCAACGGGGAGCGCGTGCGGTTTCTCATTCCACGTCCTTCTTTGGCTTTTCGGTTACCTGAGGCCAAGCCTTAATTCACTAACTCATTTTCTCTGTTTCAACCCACGCCACTCAGGCGTCCAGCGAGAGAAAATCGAGGGATCTCACCTTTGCTTCCTTCTTTCTGCCTTGTTGACATCATTTCCGGGTAATGTATCCCTTGATTTATAAACTCCCCCCCCTCCCCCCCCGCCCAACAACCAAGGCCACCAATATAATGTATAAGAAAATCAATCAATTGATAATTAAATAAGGAACCCTTAGCTAGCTACCTCTGGAGCTACTCTGGCAATACTAAAATGAAAGGAATCAAGAAACCTAACTTTGAAGACATCTGGAATATTAATTACAATAAAAGGGAATGAATCAATGGAAATAGAACTAACTTTTTTAATTTCAATGGAAATCTCCAAAAGGAATCAATAGAAAAGAGCTTGGGAAAAGTAAATAAGGAATAGAGGGTAAGTAAAGCAAATCAAAAGGCAAAGAAAAGGAATAAAGATTTAACGCCTCAACTCTTTAGACACTATTCTAGGCCCCCCCCCCTCAATGATGTCAGAAAGCTGACTACCCCCTTTGCTTGAATGATTTTTTGTTTTTCAATACTTTTGAATAAGGGATTTTATAAAGAAGGTGCGCGCTGACTTTTGGAAACTTTTGGAAAGCTTCAAAACTAAAGAGCTAGGGAAAGTAAATCAGGAATAGAGGGTGAGTAAAGCAAATCAAAAGGCAAAGAAAAGGAAAACATATTTAAAGCCTCAAACCTCTAGACATTATTCTAGGCCACCCCTAAATAATGTCAGAAAGCTGCTTGCTGGACTACCCCCTTTGCTTGAATGATTTTTTGTTTTTCAATACTTTTGAATAAGGGATTATATAAAGAAAGTGCGCACTGACTTTTGGAAACTTTGGGAAAGCTTCAAAACTAAAGAGCTTAGGAAAAGTAAACAAGGAATAGAGGGTGAGTAAAGCAAATCAAAAGGCAAAGAAAAGAATAAAGATTTAAAGCCTCAAGTCTTTAGACATTATTCTAGGGCCTCCTTAAATAATGTCGGAAAGCTGCTTGCTGGACTACCCCCTTTGCTTGAATGATTTTTGTTCAATACTTTTGAATAAGAGATTTTGTAAAGAAAGTGCGCACTGACTTTTGGAAACTTTTGGAAAGCTTCAAAACTAAAGAGCTTAGGAAAAGTAAATAAGGAATAGAGGGTGAGTAAAGCAAACCAAAAGGCAAAGAAACGGAATAAATATTTAAAGCCTCAAATCTCTAGACATTATTCTAGCCCCCCCCCAAAATAATGTCAGAAAGCTGCTTGCTGGACTATCCCCTTTGCTTGAATGTAAAGGAATAGAGGGAAGTAAAGCAAATCAAAAGGCAAAGAAAAGGAATAAAGATTTAACGCCTCAAATCTCAATGGAAATCTCTAAATGTTTAATAGAAATCTCCATCCAAAAAAGCAAATCCCAGCAAACTCAAAAGGGAAGAAGTAAACTATAACAATAAAATATATCCCACTACAACTACTCCTCCAAAAAAGACATTATTCTGGGGGCCTTTATAAATCTGTGCAGGAAAAAAAGTATCATTATTCTGTGGGCCTTTTAAATCAAGGGACTACATTACCCTTTCTTTCCGCAGGTCTTTGGTTTAGACTCACCGTTTATCGCTTCCCTCATCGACATGGACAAGACCACTGCCCAGGACTTCAGAGGGCTCTTCTCCAACTCACGCTCCTGCCGACGACTTCCCCTTGTCCGCAGAACAGGTGGAGACTTCAACCCTGTTTGCACTCCCACTTGGGCAAGATGGCTCCAGTGTTGTAGTTGATTTGGCCCCAGGTTCTACCACTTATCTCGATACAACCACTTTGGACACTACCCTTCTACCTGGCCTTCGTCGGGTTGACAACCAGTACAACGAGGACTACACCGAGTATGCCAACCAGGTCCATGCCCGCAATCATGGTGATTTCTATGTCGCTGCCCCTCATGAAGAATGGGCATGTCGCAACTACGGCGCTTCTCGATACTGGTTTTATCGAGCATGGTTCCATCGCAAGACCATTCGTTGGGACAACGACGATGTACTTACTTTCGGTCCACCCATGGCTACTTTCCCGACACGCACCCCTATTCCAACTCGGCCGATCAACGCTATCGGGTATGGGGTACCCGAGGTTGGCAGCTAGTCGTGGGAGCAAATCAAAGTCTCCCGATTTGGGAGGCTTGTGAGGGCTATGAACGAGCCATTCTCGCTGAGGAGCAACGCCTCACAGCACAAAACCCTACTCCTACCGCTCATCCAGGGGACGCAAACGCCAAGCTGTTGACAATCTTGAACATACTCGTGTGGAATACATGCTCGACAATCTCCTTCAGCATTTCTCTCAGCTCGACGTCTCCAACGCACCAGGATTGCGAAACCTTCCTGCTCCTCAACAACAACAACAACAAGTCATTGAAGGCCTACTGTATACCTTGACGTCTTATCATGATGAACTTAGCCATGCAATCGATCAACAGGATCCCCCCACCAATCCGGACACTTCCTCACCACTGCCTTCTGCTGAGACTCATCCTGCTCCCACCGACAACGAGTTGCCGTTCACCCCTGCAGCTACTGGTCCGGAAGTCCCCGTTCCGGATTCGGGATCTACGTCGCTGACATCTTCCTCTACGTCGCCGCAGAACACGTTGGCGCCTCTATTTCCACCCACTACCGGAAAGCGTGACTGATTGCCACGAGTGCTAGGCCACTTTCCTCGGGTTGAGGCCGTACGTGCTTCCCCTGTACATTAGAGTCTAACCTTTCCAGCTCGAAAACAACCTTTGCTTTGCTCCTTTTATCCTTGTCATATTTCCATTTGTTTCTCCCCTCATTACACTCCACCCATTTCCCTACCTGCACCTCTCCGCAGCCATTGGCTCTGTTTGACTTTGGTGATCCCGCGTTTCCACGATGATCTCCTCACCCGGACTTCGTGTTCCTGAACCCTTGACCCAGTTGATACCCACAGCATGGAGAGATGTACGTCAACCTTTTGAAACCCTTGATCAAGTTCCAAATCTCTCCATTTGAACTGGACATCAGCTTACTTGTTTACCAACCGCTCAACTACATCACCGTGACCCTCGACACCCTCCAACTTGAAACCAAGGAGTACACGGTCGGTGATCTCAAAGATGTGATCTACTCCCGTTTGGGACAGCAGCGCGCAGCCTTTTGGATGGCCTTACCTTCTACCGGCGACTCTCGTATATGGGAAGTCCCACATACCTGCGCACTTGAGGACCTCGTTCTCTACTATGTCAACTCCCGAAGGCTTCGTCCTCTTGGTGTTGCCAATGAATATCCACGAGATTCTACTCCCTTCCCCTACCGACCTCTACATACCGTCGCCCCTCGCCTACATGATGATGCCATTTGCCAACTACGACTCCCTCTGACGGCCTATCAGACCTACCGAGAACTTCGACAATTTAATTAGTCTCACCTAACCTTCCGGCCCCGCGCTTAGCAAAATATGCCTCCCTTAGGGGAGGCGTGTGTGTGTGTGTGCCCCTTGTAGTCACAGGGATTCCGTTGAATTGTTTCTTTTTCTTCAGCAGGGGGTAGCGGCAGATCATTTGGGACCGCTACCAACGAAGACGCCCATTTGATCTGGTGATATCGGAGTTGGCCACTCCGTCGTACCTGCTTTCTTCGAACTTTTGAACTTTTGTAAAGGGCTAGTGAGCTCTGCAGACTTGCACGCTACGACGTCACCCTGTCGGATCGGACCCGCCTTGAGTTTTTGGCCTCGCTTCCTTTTGAAGACCCCCATGCTCTTTAGGACTTTCCTGGACCTTTCAGGATTTGGGTTTCTTAGGCTGGCGTGTGGCACCACTGTCAAGTCAGTATGCATATCCATAAGTGTGTGCTCTCATGTTTTTGTGTCTTTTTATGTTTGCTCTCATACCTGTGCTCTCATTTGTGTGCCCTAGAGTGCGGCAGTTCGCTGATTGATCCTTGTTTTGTTTTACTCTACATTGTTTCGGGTCTTGCTGAGATATATAATTTGTTTTAAACTTTGATTTGGGCATTGGAATTTTCAAGGCAACAGATGTGGTGGAACAGTATTGAAACAGCCTACATCTGCAATAAATTATAAGCACTTACAGCAAGCCAAAAGGTAGGTAACATGAGGGGTAACAAACAACAACATATATATATATATGAACCAACGCGCAGACAGGATCTCCATGCATTTTCCGATAAAACCATGTACAACACTTGTGTTGTCGCGCAAGGTCGGGGTGTTCAATTGCACGGCCATTCTCTTAGAACTAACTCACAAGATCGGTTGGTTCTTTGGAGAGCCCGAGGTCGAGACTGGCGTGCGAGCCCTTTCTTCGCACCAGCGGGTCGCTTGCGTGCCTTGCCATCAGTTCTCCTACAGGTTGGGGCCACATCTGAACCAAGCCTTTCAGTTTAGGCAAACTTTGAGTTGCAAGAATAAACAGGTGCGAAGGAACACAAATCCTTTGAACGGTTTGAAAATCTTGCATTGCAAATCTTGCATTGCAAATCTTGCATTGCAAATCATGTGCTTGTAGCATCAATTCAAACTTTGATTTGGCCTTTGTCCCTTTTTTGATTCTGCGAGGTTGGCGACTTTGAACTGATCCTTGATGAGTCTGTTTGTTGCCTACCCCTGGCCGCCTGGCCCAAGATAGGTTCGATTCTTGGACTTCTTCGCGAGGTCCTCCTGCACAAACGCCTGGAAAAACTTGGCCGTTCACTCAATGAATAGACAAGCGGACAGCATGCAAATTCCAGCTGTGTGAGCTGGAACTCTTTTTGTTTTGGCTGCTGTGTTGATGCATCAGGGCCACTATATATCAGGCTTGTTGCGGCCCCTCCTCCTGCTCCTGGTCCATTCGTCCAATGACTTGGAAAAACACTTGTGGGGATGTCCTCATGTATTGTTCATGAAGAATAACTTTCCTGCCACACTCTCGGATTTGTTGGTGTTGATCATTGATAACGCAAAGATAAAAGGGTGTTGGATGTAAATTGCTGCTTAATCATTGAGGACAATCAGAATCGTTGTAATCAACCAAAAGGCAGCTATATATAAGGGAGATGCAAGCGGGATGAGTGGGACGGACTAACACTATCGGGCAGATGAATTGTAGACATACACAAGGTTTTGAAGATAAGGATAGACAGGTTTTGAAGATAGGGAGAGACGCTCATGGATGCAAGCAGATTACAGGCGAGTTGGTTTAGAAGTAAGACGAAACAGACGCCGCCACGGCTTCTGGATGATTTTTCTTGGGTTTCCAGTTGTATTCGTACAGGAATTTAGTTTCAATGACTGTGCGCAGCGACTTCACATGCCTTTCTGATCTAGAGCTCAGAATGTTTATCATGGACGCCTCTAGCTAGATGATGCATGAGCGTAGTGAACAAAAGTGGGACATCTCATGATATCGCTTCAGAGTTTGACATAAACATGAGTTGATCCTGTGGAGGATGAGTGACACAGGTACATGTAGACAGTTAGATACATGTTACATAGCTCAAATGAATGAGCATAAGTTTCAGTAACTGGCTCGCTGTTGCATTAGCCCTTAACAACTTAGGCTCTGTAGAAATGACTTAGTAACTGAATACCTAGCCCATGACTTGCAAAAACGGTAAGGCGAAAGGGTCCGAAGAACGGAACTGTTTAACAAACGTACTAGCATCACCTAGCACCTTACAGGAAACATAGAATTAATGCAGGTACACAAGAAGGCGTCCCTTCTCGCTTCACCAGTTGTGAGTCTGTCTTCGTTGGTCCAGGGACAACTCACAACTGCCTGGACCCCCTGCTGAACATCTTAAAGTTGAAAGTGCTCTTGGAAACATAGTGTGGCGCACAAACACAAATACCATACAAGAGCATTTGTGTATTTCAGTTCCCTGTGGCCATTGAGGCCATCCAGATGCGCGAGTGGACGTTTATCCCCGAATGTGCGCTTGTGTGTTTGGACGGCTGGTTTGCTTTTGTCGCGGCTGACTTGAGACGATCTCCAAGCTCATTGTCAGGTGGCACTGCTGGCATCAATACGAAGAGGGCAGTGGTGCGCTTTTTGGTATGAAATCAGAGCACTTTGGTTTTTGTGCTCTTGTCCTCCTTCAGATCATGGCAGGTCTTGGCACTTTGTCCCAAGCCAAGAAAGCCCTCCGTGACGTGAAGAAATGGGCTTTTCGGCTTCCAATCTGATCCAGCCAGATGGCTGCAGGTCAAAATGCATGGGGATCTATTCTTTCCTTTTTAGAATGCCAAGGGCACAAGGTTTGAAGCACAGCCATATTCTTTACTCACTTCACTTCTGAAAGCTGGAGCATGGCATTGCCAACCAAGGTTGAAGCACGCATCACATGAAAAACATCGCCTTCGCAAGATATGCTTGGGAGTGCTCCGGGCCTAAGCTGCTCCAACAGCGACTGGTTGACAACCAAGAGCTTGCAGCGCTGCCCAAGACTCATCCTGTGGTCAGAATGGTCGACTGGTGGAAGACAAGAGAAAGGAGGAGATTCTGAACAATATTGTGTTCTGCGAACACCTGCGGCCAAGCGTGCAACATTGGGCTTGGTGAGAGAGCATTGCCGGAAGTGGCAGTTAAAGAGTAAACTCAAAAGAGTATTAACGAGGAGCTTGTACATAGCCGCATAGCCGTGTCGGTGGCAAACACAGCCTTAGCCTTTTTGTGCCAAGGTTGGCCCCGAGGGCGATTTTGAGACTGGGAGCGGGAGCGTAGCCAAGCAGAAAATAGAGCCACGGAGTGAGCGATATGCATGTGGGAAGAATTTATCTTGGCCTGTTTTAGCACCCCTGGCATCCCTGACTCCGCAGCCGACGCCACAGAAATTCTGATTTGTCAGAATGGAACTCACCATGAAACTGGGATGTGAGCTTCGAACTATCCTTTTGATGCGGAAGTAAGAGGAACTGCAAGCAGCTCTCCTAGTTGCCAGAAAGGCTCCGAAACAGAACAAAACTACAAGTCTGCAAGCCTGATACCAGCAAGGCGTGCAAAAGAAAGCTCCTGTGAATTTGGAGTGAAGAGCAACTCTCTGCGACCCACAAAATTTGACACCAAACACTTGTTGAGTCAATGTTTGACCTGCACCCTCGGCTCTTCATGTGGGGGACAAAATCTGTAGAGTAGGATAACACAGTCCCAACTGCCTGAGTATGCACCAATTGGCAAGCACACCTTTGAGCACTGGCCTCCGAACACTTTCAAGCGCTGAATAGACAACAGAACTTGCAGCTGAACCGGACGAGTTCAGAGCGCTTCAAGCTCAAACCTCTTGCCACACTGTTGCAGATGGTTTTGTCCAACGGGATGGTTTTGACCACGAAGGACAGCGGCACGCAACTTTGCAGTTGGTCACACCTGGTGCCGCGTCCATTGGGCAGCTGACTTGCTGCCCCCTCGCCCTCGCTGCTCGTTGCCTTCATCTTGCCCTGGACTCGAGTGCGGCAAGTTGATGAGTGGAACCTTGGCCCCGGTGTTTGTCGTCCAATGGCTATGGGGACTTACATGTCTCCTTGCACCATGCCGGTGCGGCTTGCTCCTTTTGTCCATTTGACACTTTACATGTTTGGCCTCATTCTCTTTCGCGGCTATGGTTTGAAGAGACGAGAGACGAGTCAGGACTCCGGTTGTCTGTTCTTATGGATGACAGAACTGCTTTGATTACTGTAGGTGGTTTGTGATGGCAGCTCTATCGCTTGACCAACTTCACTATGAGGCCTCCCATCTCTCATCCTGCGGGCGAAGGGCCACGGTTTGTGAAGTTATATAATTACAAAGATAGTAAAGATGATGGAGTGGTTCCCTTTACTGTAGGTATGCTGCTGAATCCTGATAAGCTCACAACTATCATATCCTTCTCTTCTCCTTTGGACACCTGTCGTTCTAAATACCTTTATAAGAAAACAATTGATCACTGAAGTGTTGTAGGTCTCTTTGACAAAAGCCGCCAAAAGTCCGACAAGGCAAAGGCCTGGAAATGCAAGCCAACCCAGTCAGTATGCATCTTCAATGGGTGCTAGTAACAAGTGCATTACTACTAGTAGCAAGAAGCTACTAGTAACTCCTGGCATTACTACTAGTAGCAAGAAGCTACTAGTATATAAACAATTTAACTGGAGCACCACCAAAGCTGAAAGCTGGATAGCTGACTGTGCAATCGACACAAAATTCAAGAAACAACATGATCTGCCAGAGACTACTTGGCTTTGAACCCTATCACACATGCCAAACAGGTGCGGCACACATGTATGTATATACAGAAAAGCAAAAGGATTACTCAATGACGATGCTGTTAATTCAAAGACGGCTTGAATGAATATGAATACAATCTTGAGCGGACCGAAGCATCTGAAGGATTTACATTGGGAGATTGATGAGGTCCCTGCAAATGTGTATGACCCACTTGACAACAGAAGAAACATGCTATTTGTATATATATATATACACATAAGTGTAGTTTGTTGTTGATAATCCACCTTTCTGAGTGCTTTGCGAATTCCACACTGGGCGCTGCCACATTCATTTGCTGCTCGAACCTCACTTGCTCCAATTCTAACCGCTGCTTGGTTCGTCGTAGCTGGCGCGCAATACACGGATGCCGACTGTGTGCTACAAAAATTGAATCGGTGCATTTCAACAGCATGTGGTATTACCTGCATCGAGTGATAGTCTTTATTGATTGGCCAGAGCTGATTGGTGCTTTGCACCTTTGATCCAGCTCTCCTTCCTCACCGGCCGCAAAGGCAGCAACCATTCAACTCCCCACTGCATTGGCGTTGCATTTGCTGTTGAAAGATCGTCGTAGCACTTGGCTCCCTTAGGCAAATCCCAAGCATGGAACACACAGGACGTTCGCTGCAGGAGGGCAAGTCAGCAGCAATACAAGTCTGCCGACTTTGCTAAGATGCGTCAGTTTGTAACGGCCAAAAGATGGGTCATGTGCAGTGTCAAGCGCTCATGAGTCTCTTCTACATGTCTTATGTTTCCTGCAGCAGTCCGGCCCCTTGTGCAAGGAAGGAACCAAAAAGTCAACTCAGTTGGAAAGGGTCTGATCGTCGTCACAGGGCTGTCACATGTTGTGTGGAGTTTCGAGTCTATTGGCTTTCCTGAACAAGACTCGGCAGACCCAGCCTGCAACTCCCGAATCCGGCTATCCATCGTCCGGGATGCGTGCGAGCAGATGTGTCGTTGGTGAGTTCCTGGGTGGTGATATGCCTGTGCGTGCACAAGCAAACGGCTCCAGCCAGCGAAGAGCATACAGGACGCCGACGGAGCAAGTTCCGGGTCAGCTTCCCGAGCACGTCCCGGAGCAGGTAGTTCAGCAGGTTATGGAGCATCCCCTTCGGGAGCAGGAAGTTCCGGAGCAGGTTCCGGAGCCGCTTGTCACCATCAAATCCATCGAGTCTTTTGCACCGCCGATCGCCTGGACACTGATCGCCGCACGTCGACCGCTTTCTGCCTCATGCACGAGGCCTGGTCCACCTTGCGTTCCACACGCCAGTTGATACCGCCGTGTCGCCGCCGCTGCACCGCCGCCGCCACCACCTCCACCACCACCACCACCACCTCCACCTCCACCTCCACCTCCACCCTCCTCCACCACCACCACCACCTCCACCTCCACCTCCACCTCCACCTCCACCTCCACCTCCACCACCCTCCTCCACCTCCACCTCCACCTCCACCTCCACTTCCACCTATGAAGACTCAAGAACACGGTTGAACAAAGTGGAACACAGGTGAACCTGAAGTGTTTTCCTTTCCCACGCCCTCGCGTGGCATGCCGGTATTGGGGTTCGACCGAACTTGGTACACTTCTCGACTTGGTGCTGGACGAATCGGGGGTGCATTGTTCGATGTGTGCCATATCACATCATACTTGGAGTGAACCGCACCTGCATATGTTTGGCGTGCCTTTTGGGGCACAGGTGTTGAAAAAGAGGTCCACCGCACCATATCTACATCTCACTCACGACGCCAAGAAAAATTAGCAAAGGACATTTCTATTTCTGAGCACTGATTGCGGTTTGTTGCCAGCTGTGTCCCAGGTGCTTTTTTCCCGAATGCGTAGCGAAGGGTTCCCGTTTATAGTTGGGGGTCTGGGGGTTGGAGCTGTGTTTGCATGGCTTGCGCCGTCTCGTCGTCTCTCGTCGTTTGTCGTCGTCTCTCGTCGTCTGTCGTCGTCTGTCGTCGTCTCTCGTCGTTTGTCGTTGTTTTGTCGTCGTCGTCGCGTCTCAAATTTGCTGCCATTGGGGGAAGCTTTTGCAACTAAATTTTCATGGACGTGTCACGTGTCAGTTTGCGCCGCTATTCCATTGTGATTTGCATGACAATGACATGTCGCGCAAGAAACGTGACGCATTTCGCTGCACAGGCGCAGCGTTTTGTGAGATCCGCAGATTGCTGCGCAGTTCCATTGGGATTAGCGTTTGAAGAGTCGTGTTTTTGGGGTGTTGGATGTGGCCGTGCCATTAAGATTTGCGTTTCAGGGTGTGGCATCGAAGCTCGGTTTTCGTGACAAGTCTGAGCTGAAATGGCGATTTTGGTGGATGGGAGTGTGCTCAGAACGGGTCGAAATCATTCCAAACGTGTGGTGTGGTGCAAATTTTGTTGAAGCTCGCATGAGATGGTATTGTCACTTTTCGTGGCAGGCGCAGGGAATCGTGAGGTTGCAGGTGCAGGGAATCGTCAGGTTGTGAGTTGTGGTAGATGTGAATGTCGCTGTCACATTGGGATTGGCGTGTGAGCGGATGTTGTTTGGAGGGGCTGGAATCGCGAAACTGCTTGGCAGGGCTGCGTGATGTGTGTGCTCCGGTGGGTGTTTCCGCTTGACTTTTGGAGGAAGTCTCGTACGAAACGCTCGTTTTGCAGACTTTGACGTGTGAGTTTTTGAGCATGTCTCGTACGAAACGCTCGTTTTGGAGACTTGACGCGCAACCCTCTGCGGAGATCGTGCGTGTCGAGTGTGCCAAATGCAGGCCAGAGTGCGATTTGTCCCATGCGCGCGCAACCCTCTGCGGAGATCGTGCGTGTCGAGTGCGCGAAATGCAGGCGAGAGTGCGATTTGTCCTATGCCCCCGCAAGATCGTGCGTGTCGAGTGCGCAAAATGCAGGCGAGAGTGTGATTTGTCCGGTGCCCGCGCAACCCTCTGCGGAGATCGCGCGTGTCGAGCGCGCGAAATGCAGGCGAGAGTGCGACTTGTCCGGTGCCCGCGCAACCCTCTGCGGAGATCGCGCGTGTCGAGCGCGACGAAACGCAGGCGAGCACTGGCGACTTTGTAGTGCAACTTTAGTCCGCGGAGTATCTGGGGAGCTGGAAGATGAGAACTGGTGACTTTGTAGTGCAACTTTAGTACGCGGAGCAATCTGTGCAGCTGGAAGCTGCGAATTGGCGACCTTGTAGTACAACTTTAGTACGCGGAGTATCTGGGGAGCTGGAAGAGTGTCGCACAAGAGTGTCCCGCAACAGTGTCCCACTAGAGTGTCTCACAAGAGTGTCCCTTAAGAGTGTCCTACAGGAGTATCCCACAAGAGTGTCCTGCAAGAGTGTCCCACAAGAGTGTCCCACGAGAGTGTCCTACAAGACTGTCCCACAAGAGTGTCCTACAAGAGTGTCCCACAAGAGTGTCCCACAAGAGTGTCCCACAAGAGTGTCCCACAAGAGTGTCCCACAAGAGTGTCCTACAAGACTGTCCCACAAGAGTGTCCTACAAGAGTGTCCCACAA